AGTGCTCTTTATTTACAGTATATTTATATATAAGTAAGTAACTATTATATTCTAAAAGTTGTATATTAATAATAAGAACTCAATTAACCATACGTGCTATGAATAGTAGCTGATATGATGATCTATAACCTATAATTTAGGTTAACTACAAATAACGTTCTTTGCGAGGTTCTTTGGGTATCGGTAGAAGCTATATAGTGGAATTATTTGCTATTTCCTTGCAATTTACTGCCGATTATTTTCAGCTGTTTGAGCGCGTCGAGATCATGAGCAGACGCACGCTTGTCGCAACAGCCAATCGGAAGCAGTAATAGTTCTGGAGACTGTAGTCGCATTATCTTACATATACGTATGATGCGTGAGTGTGTCATATATACGTATACGTTTGTGCTTGTGCTGTCGAGCACTTTTAATTGTATACAACATTTTTATATGGGTAATTATTATATTCTAAAACTTGCATATTAATGATAAAAACTCAATTATCTATATGTGCTGTAAATAGGTAGCTGGTGATTCAAGATCTATTTTTCGACCTATATAAGAGAGAAATTTGCAGAAGAAAAGAAATATACCAAAGTATTAAGGATCGAACATATTTTTGATGTACTTGGACCGCGAGGCTGAACAATATTCTGAGGAAAGTATTATACAAGATACAAAGATTGGACAATATCTCCCCTTATCTTTCATTGACAATTTGAAGATATGCTAAAAACTGATCCAGAAGCTTTCATGCAAGTTGTAAGTAAAGCTGCTTATCACAATTATAATTAATTCTATAAACATTTACAAATAACATTTCGGGTTAGTAGTTACATAATCGTAGTAGATATAAATTTACACAATAAAATCAGACTTTAAAAATTTAAGAATTAAGAAAAGACTGTAAGAGATATCTCCTCTCCCTCTCTCTCTCTCTCCCTTTTTCTCCCTTTCTCTCCAAGAGTAGTAAATATAATATTTGCAATTTAGAGTCGACAAAGAGATCACCAGGACTTGTAATTTTTATCGATTTTTTGGTATTATTTTCAATGTAGTGCCTATAGCAAAGATAGTAATTGCGCATTATCTGTATCTACTATGTTTATAGTGATTTTGATTGTGGCGTAACATATGCATATATTTTTTGTTTATGACACAATTTATTAGATGAAAAAATAGATGAAAACTCTAAAAGTGTCAGTAACATACAGACAAAATCATCCAAACGTCATATCAAATATCTTCTATTCTTCTATATATAAATCTTCTATATATAAATGTGTGTTGCTTTGTTTTACCATATTTAGCAGAAAAATTAAGTATTTATATATAAAAATCTTCTTGCAAACTTTTCGTATATTTTTAAGCTTTTAAATTTAATGGAAATGGTACAGTAATATTTTTTTACAATTTTCTTTAACGGACCAAACATACTGATAATATATAAAAGTTGTACAATTTTTGTAACAGATAAATATTTACATTGACAGCTCGAGATCTTTACTTTGAAATTTTTTAATCATTTCTGTGATATATTGAGCAAATGCTCTAATTGATTTACACCTATTTTTATTATGTAAAAGCATTTGTAATTCTATGCAATCAATGCGATATATGTAAATTTTCTAAAAGAAGGTAAAATTTTGTCGGTAAAGTTTTCAAATATGGTGTCCTTCAAAAATCAAAATGTATTTGTATTAATCTCTATAATGTATTCAACTGTATGTTTTATGTATAAAACGATCAAATAGAATCTTGAAGAGGAGCACCCAATGGATCTAAAACCAAAAATGGTTACTCTGACTCTTTTTACAAACTTATATCTATAATATATGTCCTTTAATGTGTTCTATAATATCCCATAATATGTGTTATTATATTTTAAAAGTCTTCTGAATTATTTTCCTTGCAATTTATAATAATAAACTGCATTATATAGAATTACAAGTATAAATTTTTCAGGTAAACAAGGTTATGTTAATTGGAGGGAAACATGAAAAGGATTTTATTAGAAGAAGTTTGAGTGCTACATTTTCTGATGACTTAGCCTCCATGTGTTTATGGACTGGCCAAAAAAATAATTATAAAATTGGAGATACGCAATTCTGAGCATTAAAAGTAAGTAATTTTTTAAGAGATGTATATATTACTTGCAGTATTAAATGCTATGTTTTATGTCTCAGAATTTATTAAAATTGTCTCCTATTTTTTTGTAGCAATCATCGTTAAAAAGCAGGACACACATACACGTTAAAAATTCTTACAAAATAAAAGAAAAATATATATATCCATAAACTAATACTTTTGATCGATTTAGTATATGTAAACTATTCCGGAAACTTTTGTGTTATTTTAATAATTATCATAAGTTTTAATTGCTGTTAAATTAACATTATTTATTTCTTTCATCTAACAATAAACT